CCATTAATGAAAGCATCTCTCACATAGTTATCACAAGCTTCTACAGCAGTCACTGCTTTGAACTGGCAATCTTTAGCTAATAACTTTAAAGCCTGAAGAAACTGACCAAGCGACTCACCGGGTTCTTGGCGTCGTGTTGCAAGCACATGCCTTGCAAATACTTCCTTCTTGGGCTTTACAAACAGTTCTGTTAGGGATGTTTCAGCAGCATCATACGTAGTGCAGCCAGCTACGTAGTTGAACACACGTGGAGCAACGTAGTTTATTAAGAGACGCAGCTTGTTCACGGTGGGGGTATTTTCTTCTACTGCTAGAGTGAAGTTTTGGAACGTCTTGAGCCAATGACGCCATTCCTGAGCGGCGGTGGTGGCGTTTGGGTCAGTAGCAGACCGCTCGGGCCGTAGTAACCGCTCCATGTTCACTGGCTGAATTATTTGTTCAATAAATTGAGGTAAAGGAGAAGTATTGCCAGACATGTGGCTTTATTGAACAAATAATTACAGTACAGTTACATCCTGCAATAAAACAAGCCATATAATATACAATACTTATAAAGACTAACAGTTTTAGTTTTAGTTTAGTTCATTTATTATGCACCCCATACCCATCTTGTGGGCGGTAGTGGAAAGGGTAACAGAAGCACATAATGGGCAAGTTACAATCTTGATGAGCTAGTTACAAAATTCAATATAAGTCATCACATCAACAATGGGTTCGAGATTGACCACAAGTACAGTTTCTAAATTAAGCAACTGACATATGTGGAGAGCTAGTGTCACAATTTATATGTTTGTCCTGCACACCGCCCACCAACCAGTGGGCAGCGGTGGATAAGTTACAGTCACTTAAGGCGTTGAGCTTTTTCTCAAGACGAAACTTGGGCTGATCTCTAATTTGCTTCTTGGGTGGAAAGGGAGGGATTAAAACTGGAAAGGGTGTAACCTCCCACGGAGCAGGAAAGTGCCGTTGTTGTTTCTCTTGGTACAAATCATGAAACTGATGCATTCTGAGTTGAGGTCCAGTTTTTGTTATCCATTTGGAACAATGCTGATCTTCAATAAAGAAATTCTGGAGGGCTCCTGTGCAAGGGTTAGGAAGAGTTAGCCTAAGCATTTTTATACCAATTTGACAGTTAATTTCAACAGTGCTTAAGATATATATAATAATAAGCAAACTGCATATGACTAACGCTAGAACAAATAGAAATTAAACTAGGAGTTAACATAAACTAACCTGTACACAGGCACGACACGGCTGATCTGACAACAAAACAGTCAAGCGAGCATCCAAACGAAACAGTCAAGCGAGCATTCATCCGGGTACAATCTGCCTCTACCTTGGATCACTTATGGACTAATATAACAGCTCTCCTTACATCTGGTATAATCTATGACAGAACAACTGACCACTATCCTACCTTCCTCATAGCAAACATGGACATAACACCACCAGAAAGCAAGAAACTCTCATTCAGGCTACGCAGTGAATCAGCTTTAGGGAATCTCTCAAATGCACTTCACAATATTAACTGGGAATCTGAATTCAATAATACACAGGATATTAACTCATTAACTAACCTCTTTCTCTCCAAAACTCTGAGCCTCTACAACACTCATTGACGTCCCCCTCCTTGCCAAACAAGTAACTGACAAAAGAATAAACAATCCGTGGCTCACAAGTGGCATTCAAATCAATCAACAAAAAACATGAATATGAAAAGAAATTAAGGATTGGCCTAGTTACAAAGGAAGTAGTTAAAAGGTACTCATCAGTGCTTACCAGTATCATAAGAAAAGCTAAACTTTCATATTATGAGACTAGATTCAAAGAAGGAAAAGACAACATGAAAAGCACATGGAAAGCCATCTCTAATATCCTAGGAACTAAACAACAATCCCACAACCAGATAACACTCTCTAAGGATGGCTATACACCGTCACCTGATTTAGAAATGGCAAATGCATTTAATAGCTTCTTTTCATCGGTTGGTGCTAACCATGCCAGTAAAATCCCACAGACTCAGACACATATCAACACATATCTCTCAGGCAGCTATCCAAACTCTCTTCTCCTTTCACCAGTCAGCCCGACAGATATTGTGTCCAACATACACTCAATAAAAACCAAAACTGGGAACATCGGTGAAATCCCATCCATTGTCTACAAGAGGGCCTCCCATACCCTTGAGCCACCCATAACTCTGTTGTTCAACAAATCCCTTGTGTCATACCTTCCCTGATATCATTAAAAAAGCAAGAGTAATGCCAGTTCATAAAGGAGGCAATCCGGCAGACATAAACAATTATAGACCAATATCAAACCTACCCATACTATCAAAAATATTTGAAAAAAAATGACAAAAATGAGTTTCCGATTGGACTCTTCATAGACCTGAGAAAGGCCTTTGATACTGTTAATCACAACTACCTCTTACGTAAACTCCATCATTATGGAATCCGAGGCCATGTCCTGGACTGTATCCAATCCTATCTTAGTGATAGACTCCAATGTGTAGCCATGAATGATATAACCTCTCCCACTCTACCAATAACCGTTGGAGTGCCACAGGGCAGCACTTTGGGACCTCTCCTATTTCTTATATACATCATATATGTAGTGCCTGGTTAATGTACCATTAATGTACCATACAAATACCATAGAGTATACATGAGAGGATATGCAGTGACTTAATATCTAACATATTCAGAGATTTGAGTAAGGGTACCGAGTGCTGTCTGGGTCCAGAGTTAGATATTGTTCTAATATCAGCTTTGTGTTGGGTAATTAGAGGACGTAAATGATTTTGGGTAATAGAACCCTATGCACAAATACCATAGTTGAGATAAGGATAGATGAGAGAGTAATAGAGCGTCACCAGGGCAGGGCGAGGTACACAATATCTGAACTTAGAAAGAATGCCAACAGTTTTAGAAACTTTTTTTGCTATATTTAGAATGTGTCCCTGGAAATTCAGCTTGTTATCGATGAGGACACCAAGGAATTTACCATCAACTTTACTACTGATTTGTATATTGTTTATTCTTAGATTAATTTCATTTGAGGATTTATTACCAAACAAAAAATAGAAAGTTTTGTCAATGTTAAAGGTGAGTTTGTTGGCAGTTAGCCAAAGATGGACTTTATTTAGTTCAGTATTCACAGTGACATTTAGAGCAAGCGGGTCAGGACTGGAGAGAATGAAAGTTGTGTCATTAGCAAATAAGATTGGTTTGAGGTGTTGAGAGGCATTTGGAAGGGCATTAATGTAGATGAGAAAGAGGAGAGGGCCAAGTATGCTGCCCTGTGGAACACCAATGTTTATGGGTAGAGTAGGAGAAAGGGAATTATTCACAGAAACCTACTGGAGCCTGTCAGTAAGGTAAGACTGAAGGTATTGAAGGGAGTGACCTCTGACTCCATAATGATGTAATTTAAGAAGAAGGTTTTGGTGGTTGACAGTGTCAAAAGCCTTGCGCAGGTCCACAAATAACCCAACAGGGAACTCATTTTTATCAAGAGCTGTATGTATCAAGTTAATCATACTAAGAAGTGCATCGTTAGTGCATTTATTGGGTCTGAAACCATATTGGCAAGAGCTAAGTATATTGTGTTTGGCTAGATATGAGTAAAGCTGCTTGTAGATTAGCTTTTCAAATATTTTTGACGAGGTTAGCAGAATTGATATAGGTCTGTAATTGTTGACATTAGTGAGATCACCACATTTGTGGACTGGGGTTACTCTCGTTTTTTTTTTTTAGAATATCCGGAAAGGTTTAGAGTTCAAGTGATTTGTTGAAGAGCAATGCAATGGCAGGAGCTAGAAATCTGGAGGCTTTTTTGTAAATTAAAGATGGTATCTCATCAAGGGCGTTTGACTTAGTGTTAAGGGAAAGGATTACATCATTAACATCAGAGGAATTAGCGGGAGCTAGGTACAGAGACTCTGGATTGTTACCTGTAAGGTAGTCTTTAATATTAGTGAGTGAGGATGGAATATCATGAGCAAGGGATGTCCCAATGGATGAAAAGAACCTATTGAATTCAATAGCAGTGTTTGAGGCCGAAAGCACACCATCGCCATTGGATAGGAGAATTGTTTTTTTATTCAAAATCTTTTTTGATCCTAAAATTTGGAAGATAGTGCTCCATGTTTTCTTAATGTTGCCCTTAATTTGGGTGAATTTATTTTCGTAGAATTTTAGTTTGGCTCTTCTAATTATTTTAGACAGCATTGATGAGTAAATCTTTGAAAATACTTTGGAGATGACTCCTAAGCTATACTTCTTCTCAAGGTCATGTTTTTTATTAATAGATTTAAGTATACCCTTTGTAAGCCATGGAGTTTTTAACCTTTTATTTGTAACTTGTTTCGTTAGCATTTGACAGTGGGAGTTATAAAGGTTCAGAGTTTTCTGAAGAAATGTTTGCACTGCTAGGTTGATGTTGTTCACAAATGATTTTTGGAGTTCAGTCCCTGAGCCCATTATTACAAAAATACAAAAACTCTTGTATATATAAATCAAATCAAATCAAAATAAAGTGCCTCTGTAACTCTTTCCACTACCGCCCACAGGATGGGTATGGGGTGCATAATGAATGCACCCCCCCCTACTTGTGTGAGATCAAAAGTAGTTAAAGAGAAATCTGAAAATGAGTCAAATGATTAGTTAATTCAATTACAGGAGATGACGACTCGTGGGGAGGATACCCCCTCAGCTACCTTAAACAGGAGTTAGGATTCTTCCTAACTCCTCAAGCAGTTTTTTTTATTTTTTGTATTATTATTTTCTACCACAGACGTGGCCACACATTTACAATGCTAACCAGCATACATACATTTTCTTCTGTCCTCCATGGACAGGGTTAGAGATGTGTTAAACATATAGTTTCTCATAGTTTCTTTCTTATTGATTCCTCAAGCAGTAGTTAGCGAAGAATCCCTCAAGCGATAGTAGTAGTACGAGAGATTGTTTTTGTTTTGGTGAACACAGACGAGTGAGCCGCGGCCTGCGGCTCTCTTCCCCGCCCTTCACCACACACGTGCACACCAGCCCTTTAAGGCCCACGCCAGCCCTCTCCCCCGCCCACACCAGCCCTCGGCCGCCCACACCACCAACACCAGCCTCAGTGACCAGCGCCTCCCTCCCTCCCTGCCTCGTCCGCCCTCCTGGACCAGGAAGGGAGGGCCGCCGATGTGCGAGTAACACCACGGAGGTCGCTGCTGCTGGAGCCCCAGGTGCTCCCCAGCTAGCATGGAGGGTGTCCAGGGCACTCCAGTTATACTGGAGCAGCTGGAGGACGCCAAAACCCTGCTGGTGTACTGCGAGGGAGACCAGTCCTCCAGTGACCAGCTCCAGCAGCTCTCGGCCGCCCTGGACCTCCAGCCTCCTGTCACCAGGGTCGACCAGTAAGTAGCACTCGTTCGTCTGACCCCCTCGGTCAAGCCAGGGGTCAGGGCTTACCTTACAGCCAAGCCAGGGGTCAGGGCTGACCTCACATCCAAGCCTGGTCCAGGGTCAGGGCTGACCTCTTGGTTTAGCCTGGTCCAGGGTCAGGGCTGACCTCTCGGCCAAGCCAGGTCCAGTGTCAGGGCTGACCTGATAGCCAAGCCAGGTCCAGGGTCAGGGCTGACCTCACAGCTTCTGAGTGGTACTGTACCTCAAAAGGCTTATGGAGAACACAAAAGGTCGTAATCAGACCTCGGTGGGTGTTGAGTGTTAGCTTTTACAAATTACCTGCCCACCTTATATTTAATTATAATGATGGCTAGTTGTGACACTATTTGCACTGCAATTGCTGTGTATGACATTGTGCTTTGGATGTAAGTCATTTTGGTCAAAGGTAACATAATTTATGATATTTGATACTACAGGATAATATGGATAATATGTGTTATTGCTTTCTGGGTGCCCTCTTCAATCAGGATGCTTGTCACCATTAAGGTTTGTCGATTGTGTTGTGGCGTGCTTCTTTCTCTATCCAGTTGCCTCTTTACAGAATTATTTAACAAGTTGGAGATAGGTTGTTCCTATATTATAGGTCCCATACTTCCTTGTTCCAAGGGAAGCATTTTCCAGCATATTTGTAGATTGGTCAAAATGAGTCAGACTCAGGTATATGATTAGACTCATTATTTATGTATATTTGCCACTTTTAAAGCCTTCAGTTTGGCCGTGACTTGCTTGAAGATTTGAGCTTAAGGTTTTGGGAAAACCAACTTCTCCATTTGCCGAATGCTATCTTTCCAAGATTCCTTGCCTAAGCTGTCAGTGTGTTGCTTTGGGCAAGATATCTCTTGACAACTGCCTCCCAGTTTGTGTTCCGAGTTGCATGCACTTCATCTTTCAGCATCAGTTGGCCACTGCTTTGCGTTAGAGGCGACTCCCAATATCTTTCTGTATTTGTACTTCCATTTTCAATTCTTTCTTTAGGGATCAGCTGAATGGGATAGCTCAGAAATTTGACTTTTAGTTAATATGAAATGTTCCTTTCTTAACACATCATTTGACTGCTCTTAATTCCATCCATTGTGACCTTACATAAATTTTCTTCCAATTTCTGCAGAATATTCTTTGTGTCAGCCTAGGTGGCTTCATGGTTAGAGAAGCGTTCCTATAGTGGCCATATATTCCAGGGCCTGGCATGACTTCTGAAAATTTGGCCCAACAGGATGTTGCTTGGAATGGCCTGCAGGCCCACATATCCACTACAGCCCGGTAAATCTGGCTTTTCTTGTAGAAAACATTTTTTTCTCTCTCTCTTTCTCTCTCCTGAAGACTTGTGCTTTAAAGCCAATACTGTATGTCATCCTGTCTGACTGTGAATTATCCTGTCACATGAAAATGACAATCGTGTCTTTGGGAGAAATATATACAATATTACAGTGGTCTATGTTTTCAACTCGCAGTTGCATCCTCGGGGAACAGAAATTGTCGGGCATATTTATTTCACATTCATTGGTTCAGTATCAAATTTTTATTTTATATACGATAGCTATTGTCTTCATAATTTTTTATTACAAGAGACTCTTAAATTTAAATGTTAGCATGATGGAAACAGGAATCATGTTACATCCAGTATGCACTCTTCATAAATTATAAATTAGAATTTGTATAAAAATATTAACATTTGTGAAAATGAATACAAAGATGTTTTAAATTACCTGAATTTACCCGAGGACCACTAACACTAGTGGCCTCGACGACGACAGGAAGATGACGGCATGTCAAGTCTCCCCATTTGCCCTGATGATCTTTTCCAGTTGGATTTTAAAATTTAAAAATTTTGGCATTTCGGCTTCAGCGGATAGGCAATTCCATGGGTTTATAACCCTGTGGGTGAAAAAGCATCTCCTGTTCTCAGTCCTACATTGTGGCTTGTCGAGCTTGAAACCGTTGCTTATGTTCGTTACATCTGACCTTTTGAAGAAATTGTCTGGATTAACATCCTCAAATTTGTTTAAATTGTTTGTTATGATGCAGGTTCTTGCTCTTAATGTCAGGTAGTGGCACAAATATCATTTATGTATCGATATTAAAAATGTTTTGGTGTTATATTTTACAAATCTATACTATTGAATTTTATGGAAATTTTATAACTGATAAAACCTATGTTCTTCCATTATATTCATTCACAGAATCCTTTTTTTATTAGAAATAAGATAGTTTTCTATACTAGGTAATTGAGGTGCACTCCTCATTTTTTAATTAATGTTCTAATTATAAAATTCTGACTTAATCAGAACTTTTACTACAGTTAAACTTCATAGTAGAGCTATACTCTTCAGTACACACTATACAAAAAAAAATTCCAGTAGACTTGAGCATGTTTTATACTAATAATTTGCAGCTGTCCCTGCAGATACAGGCATACCTCAGAATAAGAGTTTAATCCGTTCCTGGAGACGCCTCGCCTTCCGAAAACTCGCATTCCGAAGTTAATTTCCCCATAAGAAATAAAGGGAAATGAATTAATCCGTTCCTGACTACCCCAAAAACCCCACATCAAACTAAATTTTTATACCTAATTCATCTAAATAAACCTACAAAACTGTGTTCCAGTTATTACTTACCTTGCTGTCGAGTGCTGTAGGCGTATGGAAGATGGTGAGGAGGGGGGAGGAGGAGAGGAGTTACTGTTTGGAAGGGGAGTCCCCTTCCATAATCACATCACATAACCCCATGCCTTGTAACACTATGGATACCACTTCTCTTTCTAAATTTTTCAAACCAGCCCCTGCTTGCCTTAAACTCTTTCTTATCTGCATCACTCCTTGCAGGGGTATTCTTTAGAAGGTCTTCGTGCAACACCCTGGCTTTCTCACAAATAATGGCCTCCGAAACACTATCACCCCTCAACTCCTCGTCGTGTATCCAAATTAATAACAACTTTTCCACTTCTTCAAGTATTTGTGGTCTTTGTGCCGTTAATGTTCTTACTCCTTTTGCCACTTTAGCACCCATAATCTTATTTTTCTTCTTAAGTATAGTGCATATTGTTGATGTGGCTTTGTTGTACTGCCTACAAAATTCAACAACACGTGTACCGTTCTCATGCTTCCGAATGATCTCTTGTTTCTCCTCTATTGTCATCCTCACATGAGCTTTCTGGCCTTTATCCTTACCACTGGCTTTCTTGGGACCCATGGTGAGATATATAATAACAAATTGTATAGACAAATCACCAAAAATCCAACAAAACACTGAAAATCCGCGAGAAGAATTGATGTGGGGGTAGTCACTGAGCGCGAGACAATGGTAAACTGAGGGGCGGCGGGGCGGAGGGGCGACAATCGCCGAACCACCACGCGCTAGGTCGGCCTGTACGCGTATCAACAAACTCGCGTCCCGAAGTAACCCTCGCCTTCTGAGACAAATTTTTGGAGTAAATACTGCTCGCCTTCCGAAAACCTCGCATACAGGGACAATCGCATTCCGAGGTACCACTGTATGTAGTCAGTTCAGTGTTTCCATTCTTATTCCTCTTTGGCATGTACAGTACAGTATTTGTAATAAAATTAATTTGTCTCGTCTAGAGAAGAAGCAGTGTGGCTTGTGGGTAACACCATACAGCTAGAACTTCAAGATGGTAACAGTGTTGAAGAGGCTGTTTTGCTGGAAGGGTCAGAGGTGGTGGGAGATGGTGCCTTGACAGGAGGGGAGACGCTGTTGCTCCTGAACGATGATATTCATTTGCTTCCCATCTCTCGGGATACTGCTACATCAGAGGATGTTCTGGTTCGTAGAACAAATGTGCTTTGTTGTATTTATTTATTTATTTATTTTCAGTTATCAAACCATTTAGAATATGATTAAAATTTAAAGATAAATTTTAGGAATAAAGGATAAAGTAAGGATAAATTTACACTGCCTGCAGAGCAAAGAATCATGTTATAATTGAGAAAAATTTTATGGTCCTTCTGGCTGGGCTGGTGTATGGTATAGGAAGCTAATGCACTAGCTTCCTAGTGCATTAGTTGCTGTACCATAGAGACATCCACACAACTAAAATGCCTCTGGACTTGTGCAGGCTTACTGTACACCAGGAGGAGAATCTGGTGTGCTTGTAGAGGTGAGGGGAAGCACGGGGATCTGAGATCAACCCAAAACTGAGTAAAATTAACCAGAATATACAGGTGAAGCAAAACAAAATATTCATCTTGATGAATGAGAGAAAATATGGAAACAAGAGAAGTGGCAGTTTACTAAATATTAACCTAAAAATAAAGTTTAGAGAGTAATAAAATGCTCCTTCTGGGTGGCAACCTTAGTAGCTTCCTGTTTTTACTTTGTGCTTACCATCTTCTATCTAATAGACATTACCATCTACTGACATTACCATCTAATGTCAGTAGCTGTGTTTGGGCTTGAAAGTAAGGTGTTTGCCTAACTGGTAGGAAATGGTAAAGTATCCTGTTTAAAGAATTTCAACTGATATGTGTACATAGAGGTTACCTTGAGTTGGGTCCAAAGATCCAAGGCCCAGTCTGACAAGGGCTCCTGGTTGATGATCTAATCAATAGGCCGTTTGATATTGCTGCACATTCTGATGTAGGAATCACTACCCAGTTGTTCAAGTACCCTTTGGTGGTGTTTATCAAGTTCTCTCTTGAAGGCTAATAGAGGTCGGCTAGTTGCCCTCCTTTTATTTAGAGGAAGGGTATTGCATAGGTTTGTATCCATAATGTTGATAGAATTATCTCATAGAGTACCTATTCAAAAAGGGGGGCTAATGTCACACATTCAGCTATGTTTGCTTGTCTAGTAGGTAATTATTTCTGTGTAGATTTGGAACCAGTTCTTTTAATATTTTGTGTGTGTAAATTATGGTTCTTTCTTTCTCATCTACACTCTAGGGATTACGATATGAGAAATTTCCAGTTCTCAATAACTGAGATGTTTCATTGAAAGGATTTAGGCAGTAAAAGTTATCTGCACATTCTCCAAACCAGTAACTTCTCCAGCTTTAAACAGGGCTATTAGTGTGTAGCTATATTCTATCCTAGAGAGCACTAGTGTCTTAAAAAGTACAGTCCCATCATTGGTTTGGCATCTCTCTTTATAAAAAGTTCTAGTTATCCAGCCCATCATTTATTTACCTTGCAGTAGTAACAACTACTTTTATATATTATTTACAAATTAAGGTCTTCCATCACAAATTATTGATTACTCCCGGTCTTTTACAAAACTTTTTCTTTTTATGTCAAAACATAAAAATATGTTTGTTTGAACATCCTTTTTAGGATGTTTTGACTGCATTTTATGTGACTCCAGTTTATATTTCTTTATTTTTATCATAGTGTAGGTGCAAGACCTCATCGTCATTAAACATCATGTTGTTTTCTGTGACCAAATGAAAGACCTTGGTAGGAGGTTGAGTATTTTGAGATTTACCTTCATGTTTTTTTAGTAGGTGGCTCACCTCAATAATAAGTGAATCTTTGAACTCCACATGCTTCCCTTCCCTTGAGGAAGAGAAGCCTTGGGAACCTGGAGTGCCCAGCACGTCACTAGCGAGCTCGGGAGCTGCTTGGGTGCCACCCAGAAAGGTGCATTTTTTATACTCGTGCTTTTTGTTTTGTGCTCGACATTCTACAATGAGAAAATACTACAATGTATCCATATTCGTTATCTTGAGATGATTTCGGGGCTATAGTATCCCTGCTGCCCGGTCCTCGACCAGGCCTCCACCCCCAGGAAGCAGTTCGAACCCGGGACCACAGGATCACAAGACCAGCGTGCTGTCCGCTCGGCCGACCGGCTCCCTTTGTACTACATTTTCCAAAACTTTTGTTTTTAGTATTTTCCAACCTATATATACTTATTAAGTCTTGTTATACTTGACATTCTTTTTTGTTTTTCAATGTGTTAGTGACAACTGCTGCTTATGGATGTCTAATTCAGCTAATGTTAACATCTGTTTGAACTGGGTCTTGAAATGTTCTTTTAACACTTTTTAAAACATTTGAAATATCTATTGATGCTCTTTAAAAGGCCACTGTCCCATGCAGGGGAGCACTAAGATGAAGCAAGACACTAATATATAGATACACTATTGTGATAATAGACTATCTACATGCACTGTATTTTGTCTGTAAAATACACACACACATATTTTATTATTCTAATGCTTAATTAATTGTAAATGTATTGATGTCAGTTATGTTTCAGGTAAAAGTTGGTGAAAGCAAAGAAGCAAGAACAGCCTGGTCCAAAAACTACCAGTCTAAAGTACCAAATAGATCAAGCCATTACAGTGAAGAGATGCAAAATGTGAGCAAGCTTAACATGCCAATACAGACAACACCAAAGACCTATTCTTGTGTCAATTTTAGGACCTCGTCAAGGTCTCCATCGACAGCATCTTCCTTACCTTTAACATTAGAATCAAGACCTTTGTTATCAGTAACTGAACCTGACACTGTTTTAAAGAATACTTCTAAATGTTTGAGCAATTTACATTTGCCTATTAAGATAAAAGAGACAGAAAAATTTCAAAAGGTTTCTTCACTGCCAGAGCACCAGGAAAAAGTGTCACGGCCATCGGGAGTAAAATTTAAGCTAGCCACAAGTTCAAAATCTTCACTTGATGAAGATGAGCTTAGTGAAGAACCTTTTTTAGGTCCTTCAATGCGATGGCCAACTCAGCCTAAGAGTTACCGAGGAGCAAAACCAAGAGATGGAGTAATACTCAGGAAAAATGTGAGAAAGGTGAGAAAAGTATTATTAGTTTAATATTGTTGATTAGCATCCTGAGCAGTAGTTCTATTTAAGACTACCTAATGTCAAGGAAAGCTTCAAGATAAGTGTGCATTGATTTGCATGGGAACTACAGTATGTTTCTTCTAAAACTGTCTCCAGAAATCCCCATTTTCTGAGGAAAGCTCCTTCGGCTTCCCGGAGCTAACCAGGCTGATATGAATACAGATATATTAGACCCTGGCATCAGTCAATGCACATGGAGTTCTAGGCCTACCGGGGACCATGAGCCAGAACCTGGCACCCCTCAGAGAGGCACGAGGAGCTTTGGTCTATAGAAACCACCCCCCCGTGTGGTTGGAAGCATTCTATGTCTGCCATCGACCGAGTCAGGCACCCAGAAAGGTAAGTGCACCAAAACAAACCCCTTTTCAGGTTAAAATATTGCTATTGAAAGCTGAACCAGTGGACAGAGCTAACCAAATGAAAATGAACAAATGAGCAAATTATCACCATGACACCGCACCGCTGTCTCCGCAACACCTCCCCCCTTCCCGGGAGGAGGAAGGGGGAGGGTTGACCCCCCATGCCGGCTATCCACCCTGCAGTTCTGTAGCTGTTGTGAACTGGCAAGGTTGTGCGCCTCTGGCTCCTGTGTTTCCAGTTCTGTGCCTTGTGGTGTGGTACTGTTTAAGTGGTGGTGCGTGTGCCAGGAGTTAATTCACAAGTACTTGGGCTGCATGCCCTGTAAATACTGTCCTTGGGGCTTGGGGCCATCTTCCACAAGTCACCTTGGGGTCTACCTCTGCAAAGTCTTTTGCTGCTTAGTGATTGACCGCTCTTGGAGTCAGCTGGGGTGTTTCATGCACCACTGTTTGCCTCTGGGTAGTGGGTCGTTTCGTCACTGGTTGGGATGCAGGGTACTGTGCAGCTAGTTTTCACCTCTCATAGCGGCCGGCTCTTTTCCGCCTGGGCACTTTGTCCTCTTGCGAGGTTTTTCTTTTGTTTTTGATTTCCTACTTGGTGGGAGGTCTGCCCCCTTGGTTTTCGTCACACCCATTTTTATCTTGGTGGTCCTCCACTAGACCCCAGTGAGTGAATACATCCTGGGGGTTCAGCTTTTGCAGTTTAATTGGTAACTTTGGGCACCGGTTAGCAGTACCCTGCCTGGGCTTCCCTTTGCGAGATTGTGACTAAGGGCCCTGGGGAAACCCTGCTGGGGCTCTTTGGTCCGATGAATGCTACCCCCTGGGTCACATCCATCGGATCAAAGAGCCCTGCCGGGGTTTTCCCTGGGTTCCCTCTCTCTTCGTATGAGTTTGAAGGTTGCTCTCTCTCTTCCCTTGTCTCTGGGTAACACTCCCCAGTTGTAAGTCATGCTGCCTGTTGAGTCGGTGACACCTTTAACTCGGAGTCCTGCAAGTCTTGTTCCTTTTTGAGCCTAATAAGCTCCGGGGAGCCTCCAGGACTCGCCCAGAAAATGGTGTTTCATTACATTCAATGCTGGTTTTTTGGTGATGAATGAGACTGCTGCTTTCCGGAGGGGTCTTTGGGTTGTGAATGCTTGGTTGGTTCAGCCGGGGTGCATCATGTGTTGTGTCCGGTTGCAGCTCTGCTGTTATCTGCGCGCCATGGCCTCGGTGGCCAGGGACATGATTTGGGTTGACACAGTTTCCCCTTCTTCCCTGTTCCAGGGTTCGGGTCTTCCAGGTTGTCCACAGGGTTACTTGGTCCAGCCAGCCTGCGGTCTATCCTCATACCCATGAGGTTCATAAGTTTGCTGCGCTGGCCGCTGCCTTCAATAACATGTCTTGGGCTGACATTCGGGCACGGGTTCTTGGAGGTCTGGCAGGGTCCTTGCCGCTCACTACCTTGTCAATGTTCCTGGGCCTAGTCGAGCCTGTGTTGTGTTGCGTCGGTGGTTGCAGCTAGTTGTCTCGACATCACGTTGCGGAGCAAGTAAAGTAGCAAGGGCCAACCGCCTCCCGGGGTAAGTCCTGCTTGTTTTTTCTTATCAGGTTATCATGAGATGATTTCGGGGTTTAACGTCCCGGCGGCCCGGTCCTCGACCAGGCCTTGTTTTTGTTACACACCTCCAGGAGGCAGCCCATAGCAGCTGTCTAACTTCCAGGTATCTATTTACTGCTAGGTAACGGGAGCATCAGGGTGAAAGAAACTTAATCCATTTTCAACCCATGTAATTCAGAAATTCACTGACAACTTTGATAATTTGTATGAAATTGCTTAATAATATAACTCAATCTGGATAATTCAATATATTGCAAATTGTGAGAAATTTATATGTACTGTATATGGAAATATGAACTGTATATAGAAAATATAAGATGATAAATTTTGTCTTGATTGGCATGTTGTTTCTTTATTAATGTCAGCTGTCACTGAGGGATTGGCTTGGAATAAAGAATAAAATGTTATTAGAATATATCGAATGTATTTGGAGATAAATTTTATTTATTTCTGTCAGGTAACACAGAGAGTAGACACTGACGGTGAGACAAGTGGTATGGGATCATCTGTGGATGAGCCAATTGAGTCGTCTACAGAGTCGGCTTCTGAAGCTCCCGCTTTAATCCCATCTTTCATCCAGCCTCGACCATCGGCCTCCAGGGGACCCTCTACATCTCCAACTGCTGTCAAGGTTATTGCCTTTACCCTTGAGGTTACCTTGAGGTGCTTCCGGGGCTTAGCGTCCCCGCGGCCCGGTCATCGACCAGGCCTCCTGGTTGCTGGACTGATCAACCAGGCTGTTAGACGCGGCTGCTCGCAGCCTGACGCATGAGTCACAGCCTGGTTGATCAGGTATCCCACTTATCACTTATCAGGTACCTACTTATCAGGTACCCTACTTATAGATTGATCCATTGTTGCAGGCAGTATATTTGTCGTCAGGTTTATATTGCCTTTTATATTAAATACAGTTTCTTAGTCATTTTTGTTTACTTGTCCAAAAGATTTTATTTTAAAATAAAAAGAAGTTTGATTGGGATTGTTAACTAGTACCAGAATACATTTCTCATTGCTCTTGGAGACTGGAAATGCCTAGTTACTGTACCACCATTTAAGTCCCTATAAATGTAGCAATTTGCCATTTTACAGAAACGGAGAGGAGGTTGGCCAAAGGGGCGGAAGAGGAAACCTGAACTTCCAGGAGCCAAGCCGCCAAAAGCACCTTTGACAGCATATGTGCTTTTCCTGAATGAGAGGCGAAAATACTACAAAGAGGCACACCCAGAACTGAGCTTTGGGTCTGTGAGTAGCTAATGTTAATTAGACATCAGAACATTGGTTAAGTATTCTTGGATAGCAGTCTCATTGTACAATTTACAAAATTAAATACTGTAATTATATTTCTATGGGGAGCCCCTTTGGCTCCCTGAGGCTATTGGGCTAATATGGCTTATATTAAACAAGGGCATTAGTCAATGGAGTTCAGCCTACTGGGGACCACGAGCGAGAACCTAGCCCCCTTAGAGAAGCACAGGGAGCAATGGCCCCTGAAAACTCTCCCTGTGGTTGGTAGTTTTCCTAATCTGCCATCGACTGGTGTTAGGCACCCAGAAAGGTAGGCATGACAAAACAGACCCCGCATGGTAAGAAAATTGTAAATGAAAACCGAACAGAGAGAACTTCCCCAAATTCCAAGGAAACAAGTAAACAAGCAAATGTCACACCTTGTTGCCGCTCTGCTTGTCTGCGTAGCCCTCCCCTCCCCCTTAAGGCCTTCCTTAAGCACTCTTTGAGTACTACCCCTGCGTGCTAGGGTTCTCTTCTCTTGCACCTTTGGGACACCATTTCCATAGGGGTTTTTGCTGCTCAGCATTTACCCCGCCTTTGGGGCCAGCTGGGATTTTGTGGCCCTTGTTTAGCCTTGGGTAGAGAATGGTATTGTTGCTGGTTGGGGCGTGAAGGTGTTTCGCAGCCAGCTTACCTATGCAGCAGCCAGTTCCTGTTTCCTCTGGTAATGCTGTACTTTTGCGGTGTTTTTTCTTTATTTTTGTTCTTTGCCTGGTGTGGGTCTGCCTTGTTTGGCTATAGGACCACTTGTATGTTTTGATGGCCCTCTGCTAGGTCCCCGTAATAGTACACGTCTCGGGGTTTGAGTGTTTTGATCATCCCCTTGTTAGCTTTTGGGTCTAACTGGTTAACAGCACCTTACATGGGCTTCCCGTAGCAGTCAGTCTACGGGCCCTGGAAAACTGTCAGGGCTCGGTGGACCTATGGATGCATCTTCAGAGTTCCAGCTCACCTCGTGCGAGTTTGAAGGTTGCTGTGTGCCACGACACCTTTGACCCAGAGAGTCGTGTTCTCTGCTTGTTCTCCAATTTACCCATTCTGATAACATTGATATATGGGTACAGGCGGCATCTGCATTGCATACTAGGTTTAGGTTGCTGCAATGCACTGGGTTGTTTGTCCACTCGGATGCCCCAAGGCTGCCTCGTTTTGGTTATAAGGACCTATTTTCGGCAACATGTCTTGGACTGACATTTGGGTGCGGGGATTTTGGAGGTCAAACAGGGTCCTAGCTGCTCGTTATTTAGTCAACATTCCTGGTCCTGCGCATTCGTGTGTGGCTTTGGGTCGCAGGTTGCAGCCAGTTGTCTTGTCTCGAGTTGAGGAGCGTGTGGCAGCCGCCTCCCGGGCAAGTCCCCCTTTTCCTTATCTTTTGTTATGTATCTCCAGGGACCCAAAGAAAACCGGTGTTGAATGTAATAAAACGTCATTTTCTGGGTGAGCCCCAGAGGCTCCCTTGGCACCCTCCCTCCCTCCCTCCGGTCGGTGGTTTTTACGTTGTTTTGATGCTTAGTCTCTGAACTGGAGTTGCTGAGTAGCCAGAGCGTAGGGTCTGGGGTTTTCCCCTCCTGGGGGGGGGGGGGGCTGCGTGGACAAGCAGCATGGCGGCGAGGTGTGACATTTGCTTGTTTCCTTGAGATTTGGAGTTGTTCTGCCTCTCTGTTTGGTTTTTGGTTGCAATTTTATTACCATGGGATTTTTTTTATACCTACCTTTCTGGGTCCCGAACCCCAGTCGATGGCAGATTAGGAAAACCTGCAACTACGGAAGGGGGGGGGTGTCCAGGGGCCATTGCTCCCTTTGCCTTTGAGGGAGTGAGGCAGGTTCTGGCTCGTGGTCCCCGGTAGGCTGAACTCTATTGACAAATGCCCGTCTAATATATCACACATTAGCCCGATAGCTGCAGGAAGCCTCCGGGGCTCACCCAGAAAATGGCATATCATTACATTCACCACTAGTTATTTCATAAGAAATTTTTTGTTAATTAAGAATTCAAAAGAAGCTAAGGTTTGTGTGTGTGTCTGGATATAGGGTGTAATGGAAAAATGGCTAAACAAATTTTTGCTCTGAAAATTGACAACCATAATTACTGATACAGGTAAATTTTAAGTACTTAACTAAATTTGACTGAAGCATGATGTATGGATTTATCTTGACTCAGTAAAGTATGCCTAATGAGGTATTTGAGTTATTAAGTAGGAACAGACCATGCATAGTTTCAAAACAATTACTGTATACCATTTATTTCAACAGCCATTAATTTTTGTATTGCTTTACAATATAATATATTGATACAGGTGACAAAGTTACTAGGGGCAGAGTGGTCAGCCATGACTGGTGAACAGAAGGCAGCATTTGTCACACGCTCGGAGCAGGATAAGAGGCGCTACAGAAATGAATTACAAGCATACCGCCAATCACATGACTATCAACTGCTTTTGAGGAAGAAGAGAATTAAGAGTAAGCTTATTTTAGTATTTACTATTGCTACATATTGTGTGTATTTCTTTCCCACTTGAGTTTTTTATTATACAGGCTCAACTAAAAAGAACCAAAGCACAAATTTTATAATTTAAACACAATTAAAAACCTATGAATTCCCATAACCACATAGAAACCTGACACTTCATTTTATCTGTGCAAATCACACAATAATTAACAGTTGCATAATAAAAATTGTAATTTGTTGTTAAAAAAATTACATCTCATCACATAGCCTCAGCTGTGGCTGACCCCCTGCTCCATGCTCAATGGCTTGTTCCTTGGGAAGCACTGTGTGATGAGATGAGATGAGGTACCCGTGTGATGAGATCATGTGCAAGGTACCATGGTGTCTGTATGCTTTGGTGGTGTTTTCATTTGGTTTGACGATACTACTTGATTTTATTGACTGCATACTGGTTCTTGGGTTCTTTTAGCAGAGTGAGAAAGGGTTATGTAAACTATTGTAGTTGAAAATTGCATTAAGGTGTGAGAGAGAAGATTGTTAAATACGAATGTAGATAAAAGTAATGGTATGGTGTTGGAAAGAAGGGCAAATTCTGTGTGAAACCATTGTGCATAGTGAAGAGCTGTAAGTGGTCGATCAGTTTAAATACCAGGGATGTACGAGTGCTAAAAAGAGTATTCAAGTTTTAAAATAGAAAGAGGAGGATGGGAAGGAGGTGGGTGGATGTGGTGAGTTTACACATCATACAGGACATGGTAAGGGATAAGGCTAAGTTGAAGCAGTTTGTAAAAAAGATATATAGTAAATGTATTTGCATGTACAATTGTCTACATGGCAATTCATGAGGAGCATTGTGCACCTGGTCTTATGAAGGAGTGGGTTGCTGCTGTGGATGACTGCTAGAGTGCTTATCCATAATGCTATATACAGTTATTGTGTTGTGAATGATACATGGAATGGACAAGTAACATTTGTAGTGTTTTATTATTTAATATAATCTGTTACTGTTACATGACTTGATGATGGTCCAGGATGGACCGAAATGTCATCATTCCTTCATTATCAGATGTGTGTGGGGGGGGGGGGGGGGGGGGGTACAAATTCTTCAGCCACATTATTGTGACTCACCAGCTGCTCTTTTACTATATTACTCATCTTTTGTGGGAAATTGGATAATGATTATGTATATAAATATGTACTAATTTCAAACTACATTTTCAGATGTCATCAGAAGAGGTGGCACAACAACTGAAGAATCGTCTGACTTCACAGATGAAATTGATGTTAGTGACATACCCTATCACCTAATTAACTTAATCTAGCACCTGTAGTAGCGAACATTTAGATTGATAAGTTAGTGTTGGAACCAGCATCAGAATACAGAAATAGTTTATAGTGTTGGGCAGAAATGAGACTATAGTACAGTGTTCAGATTTGCAAAAAACTTGATAAAAGATACAAGTACAGAAACAAGTTTTCTGTATCATTAACCTTTAATTATTAACTATTAATAATTATTAATTTCTAAGGGAACTCCTGAACCAAGTTTGTCCAAGGAATTTTGACATTACCATTGCTGTTCTTGTATCTTTCTGCTAATCCAAATCATACCAGTGCAGTTAGCACACACACAGAAATAACATTATCGTGATATATCAATGCGAAAATCCACAGGGGCCGTGATGAGGATTTGAACCTATGCGCTGGGTATTGCCACATGCACACTCTAAACGACTTTGCCACGACATGGTAAAAGAATTGCAACCTGGGGTACTACTGTGCCCTTGAGGATTCCTGAGGCTTTCACTGAAGTCAGATCAGAGTTTCACATAATTACCCCTTGCACTCTGGCTCTGTCGTCCAGTAATACCTCCAGTCTACCTCTGACGCCCCTCTTTCAATACACAGAGAAATCACATTATCATGATTTATAAATGAGGAAATCCACAGGAACTGTGATGAGGATTCAAACCTAATCACTGGGTATTCCCAGATGCCCGCTCTAAACGACTATGCCATGACATGGTAAAAGAATTGTAACCTGGGGTATTCATCATGAAACTAGGAATGTACTGAGGCTGTTGAGTTGCTTTATATAGTGGAGTGTCTTTGTTGCACAAGGACACCTAGCAATGGGCGAGATGTAATGGGATACCCTCCTTACTCAGGTTGGTTTTTCCTTTGGTCCAAGTGCTAGCCTCTTTACTTATTAAGATTATGCAGTTCAGTTTTGGTTGCCATACTATAGAATGGATATAAATTCACTAGAACTTGTCCAGTGAAGAATGACAGAGTTAATCCCGTAAATTAGAAACCCTTCATATGAAGAGAGATTGACAAAGCTTAATTGACATTCTTTAGAAAGGCGAAGAAGTAGGGCTGACACGATAGAGGTATAAAAGTGGATGAATTGGCATAACAAAGGGGATATTACTAGGGGTATTAAAAGTATCAACACAAGACAGAACATGAAACAATGGATATAAATTGGATAAGTTTAGTTTTAGGAAAGACCAGGGTAAATACTGGTTCAGTAACAGGAGTTGTTGATTTGTGGAACCAATTGCTGCATAACATAATAGAAGTAGGATTCCTTGTAGATTAGTATGAAAACTACCTGAAAAAACAGGCAGACAGACATTCTCTGATATAGAGATACCGTAGTACCATACTAGTCCAGTACTGTAATAGTACAGTAATGCTTCAGGGCTTAAGAGTGGCATTTGCTTCATTGTTACGACAAGCAAATCAGTTTGTAGAATGCTTTGACAAGGGCTCCAGGTATTTTTTCAGATCATTAAATGATTAAGAGTACATATACTGTATAAGAAATGTACAATTCATAAGCTTCAGCAAGTGGCTGGTTTTAAAGAGAAAGAGATACCAAAAACAGGATAGATATATATGTAACTCTTTACTTCAAGGTTAGAACATTTTTTGGACATAAATATGTGTTGTTTACATATGTAATTCTCTTTGAGGCTTATATCTTACATTATAAATTAGATATAATCAAAGAATTTATTAAGAGCTCTATACTTCAGGATGATGACAGTGAGGAGTTGTATTGCCGCATCTGTGACCAGCTGTTCACATCACTTCACAATAAGAGAGAACATCTGTATGGCAAACAGCATCTTCAGGTGATATTGTTGAATTATTACATTTACAAATGGATGAGTTTGCATAGAGGCTTCAGTGTAGAAATTGTGTGGCTATAACATGATCATTTCTAGAGCATTTATAAAGGAGTATGTTATCGAGAGATATATACTGTATTTAGAAGTAGGTAGAAATGTTTCACATGTAATCTTCATGCTACACTATTTCAACGATTTAAGAATAGAAATGTTTTGCATGTAATCTTCATGCTACAATATTTCAACGATTTAAGAATTTCATTAGTAATTTTAATTTTGTTTTTTTTTTTTTTTTTTTTTTTTTTTTTATTACAGGCTATAACAGGAGAATATCAGCGTGAGAGACTGGCTGAAGAGGAGAGGCAGATGGCAGCAGCTACAGTATCAGGCAGAAGTGGAGACTGTCTCAACTGTGGTTCTTTTGTTAGTTCCCAGATGCAGTGTTCTCGAGCTGGTAAGATTTTGGCAGCTGTCATAGAGTACAGTTGGCAGATTGGCAGTTTGTTATTCGGGTCTCTCAGTCCCATGGCTCTGATATTGTTAATGGAGTCACAGAGGAGTCAGTGTTTCACATCCTATTTAAGGCAATTCCTCCTGGTAACTATTGAACCTTACCTAGTGTCCAGAGTATAACAAAGGTCATCACCACCTTATAATGATCCAACTGATTCACGAATATTCAGTTAAATAATGGAGATATAACTTTGTCTCGCTCTATGGTAGTGAATCCAGACTTAAAAATATCTGTGGCCCCTGTATTGCTTGTGGAAACATTTACCTGCATTTTGCACATAGCCTAAACTAAAATAAAGATTTAGATTTAAATAAAGGAGGAGAGAATAATAATAATAATAATAATAATAATAAATAAGAATAATAATGAGAGAAAAAATGAGACGAATGAGAACACAAATGAAAAAGACGAAAGCAACAAGGAGAAAGATGAGGGCAATACCGAGAATAAATGCAGAAACAAGAAAGTTGGAACAAAAAACACAGAGGTAGCCAAGTCGTGCACGGGTACAAACAAGAAGAATACAATCACAGATGAAAATATTTGCAGGTATTATGCAAAAGGACAGTGCAGAAATGGGCCCAGAGGCACGGAATGCACATTCTTGCACCCACGGAAATGTCGAAACTGGTTAGGGAAAGTCAGATGTCGTTTTGATATAGTGTAGATATTTTCACCCTAAGCTATGCAAACTCTCAGTTAATGAGAAGAAATACTGTGATCTTCATTGCCCTGATTTTCATGTCAGAGGTACTCAGTGCTATATAAGAGAGGAAGTCCAATATAATAGCCCTGAAATTTTTTTAGAGGCAGGCAGAAACAGAGGGAGAAACACAGGCAGAAACGTGGCAGGAGTACGGATAGAGAGGGGGAAATGCCCAAGACTGGACTACGGTTTGTCATCAAGCCCACACATACTACACCCCCAACTACACAGACTACCACACTCCCCAGTATCCCTTCCAAAACTGGACAAACCATTGCCACAACACACCCTGGGTCACAACATTGCCACAACACACCCTGTAGGAGGGAGAACTACCAAAACCTTCCAGAAGTGACACACAATATGGACAATCATTCATATTTGCAAACATTCAAGGTTTAAAGCCAAAGTCAAGAAATAAAGTAAAGTTCATAAATGGTCTCCTATTAAGAGTCAAACTCAATATTTGGGGCATTCACGGAAACTCATACAAAAGATTACATGGATGGTGAAATCTGGATTCCAAATTATAATTTATATAGATGTGGTAGAAAAACTAGGTCAAATGGAGGAGTAGGTCTGCATATTTAAGAGGACCTGGTATGCACAGAACTACTAAACTCAACTAATGAGGTGGTAGAGGTACTTGTAATTAAGGCAGAGAAACTAAACCTAATTATTATTCTAATACTGTATATAAACCATCAGATACAACGGTTGAGGAATTCACAGAGCAGATGCACAAAATAGAGAACATACTTGATAACCTAGCAAACCCCTAGACCAGGAGGCCTGGTCGACGACCGGGCCGCGGGGACGCTAAGCCCCGGAAGCACCTCAAGGTAACCCAGCTCCAGATATTATCTTCCTTGGAGATTTCAATTTACTGAGTCTAAGATGGAAAATGGCAAGCACAAATATCATAGCAGGGAATGACCCGGGAAATAACCAACCACAGGTCAGAGAACTTTTGAGATTCTGTGACAAATTCTCGCTCAGTCAACAGATTACAGAACCAACTAGGAACGAAAACACACTAGACTTATTATTCACAAACAATGATGAACTAATCAGAGACATTACAATCTCAGATACTACATACGCAGACCATAGGCTCATTGAAGTGCGAACTAGCATAAATAACGGTAGTAGGTCTAAGAGACCGGGCTTGGGCAGTAGAACAACTCCCAGAACCCCATCAAGCAGGTAAAGATCTTTAATAACGATTTCCCTTTCAACCTCCTCATCCCTCACCAACTTTTTTTGCCCATAATCATCTCACCAACCTGCTCCTCCTTCACCTCAACTATCTTATCCCCCACCCCTAAACCACTTTCCTCTCCTCCGAAGACACCTTTCCCTCCTCCCAATCCATCTGCCCCTCCCCCCGCCTCCTCTCCCCTGGCCTAAACCTCATACCCCCACCCGAACCTTGTCTCCCACCCCAACCTCCTTCCCCCAATCTCGTCTTCTCCACTTGAACCTCCTTTACCCTACATTGTTTTAAGAACAGCCTGCCATGACACTACATTAGAAGGATAATACTACAGTAAGTATTTCTATTAATATTCACTTGTCTTGTGTGTACACACATGCAGCAGTTGTATCATGTATTAAATGCAACTTTGTGTTGTAGGACCGAATCTCCTGCCACCAGGAGTGTGTCCAACTTGCTGCTCAGGTGTGCCAGAGTTGGCTCATTGTGAACAGTCTCCAAGACCACATGAAGATGATGACGATCATGATGGAGATGAAGAAGATGAAGAGGAGGAGGAGGAAGGGGAAGTAGATGAAGAATTGGATGCTGATGAGGAAGGAGAAGTGACAGAGGAGGAGGGAGCAGCTAGTGGCATGAGTAGTATGGCAGATGCTCTTGAAGGTGTAATGCTCAAAATGTTAGGTGAGGATATTATCACTTTGTAAACTTACGTATATGAGAGAATAGTTACTGTTTCGGTCTTAGTTCTGCTAATATAAGCAACTATAAACACTATGAAAATGCAAATTTTTTCTGTCTCCATTTTCTGTATAGATAATGTGTTTCAAGTAGAACTATAACCACACTTTACGGGGTTAAATTTACTTTGTACAATGGGTTGGATCAGATATACACCACAAATATTTCCCTATACCAATTTAAAAATATGTGGATGAGTAGGGGCTATTAGGTATCTAGCATTTATACTACTTGCTATTTTGTAGTAGCCAATGTGGGTGGGTGGGGGGGGGGGGGTTCCCCATCCTGTTCCCCACCCTGTTCCCCACCCTGTTCTCCACCCTGTTCCCCACCCTGTTCTCCACCCTGTTCTCCACCCTGTTCTCCACCCTGTTCCCCACCCTGTTCCCCACCCTGTTCTCCACCCTGTTCTCCACCCTGTTCTCCACCCTGTTCCCCACCCTGTTCTCCACCCTGTTCTCCACCCTGTTCTCCACCCTGTTCTCCACCCTGTTCCCCACCCTGTTCTCCACCCTGTTCCCCACCCTGTTCTCCACCCTGTTCTCCACCCTGTTCTCCACCCTGTTCCCCACCCTGTTCCCCACCCTGTTCTCCACCCTGTTCTCCACCCTGTTCTCCACCCTGTTCTCCACCCTGTTCTCCTAAGGTTTCCCAATGTCAAGAAGCTGTCATACCTAAGTCCCCTCTCCTAACCTGCCAGAGGACCTAAACCGAAAACGGGACGGTATGTCTGTTTCGCAAGCCGCTTCAATTTTCTAGTATGATAATTTTTGGCCTTGGGTAAAGTCTACTTCAAAATGTAATTTTCTGTTAGGACAGGTTGGGTTCCCAGGCATCTTGGACACTCGTTTGAGTTCCACATCATGCTTTCTTTCTCCTTGCCTTTATGAGCTGTTGAAGATAGGAAGTCTAGAGCATACAATACTTTTGTTACACTATCATTGGCATTAACATTATCTTGGTACAGTAAAGCTTTCAGTTTACATGAATTCAGTCATGTAAACAGAAAGCTGTCAATAATACTATACTGTTTCAGTTTACATTGCTTTTTGTCTCATTTGAATTTTATTTTCATGGCAGAACGAGAGCAAGAAATCAAAGCCCTCAAGCAGAGTAGTGAAGATTCTCGTTCTCACAACTTGCAGCTTGCTACATCACTCTTACAGCTACGTGAACAAGAACAGCAGCTAGACAGGGATCAAGAGGTGCTTCAGAAAGAAAATGATCAATTAAAGACAGAAGCAGATGCACTGTGGATGTTGCCTGCTTTGTTTGGAGTCACTCCTCTGGAGATGGTCAATATCACCCTTCGGCAGGACCAGCAGGTAGATGCCACAGGGGCACTGCTTGACATTACGTAAAGAAGTTCCTACTGTTAAATGTGTGGTATTTCATGTAGTGCTTTATTATTTTTCATCATTTTAATGACTTGTGTTTTAATTAAATGTTGGTGAACAGCCTCTGTGGCACCTTAGACTAGACGTGACTGTAATTTTTCATGTGCTGCTCTACATTATTTGACTTTAAGCTCATGAAGAAAAGGAAGATTTTAATGCTTGAGTGTTAGATATTTTGACATACCTACTAGTATGTGGTATTATCAAGTTAGCAGTAGCATATGTTTATATATTAAAACTGTTTAATAATGATTGTGATAATGACTGCATATTACTTCATAGTTAGGTAAAATTTTAAATGATGGTTGTAGACATAGACAAAAATAAGATATAAGAACTCTAAGGCATTTTCTTGTTTTTGCATAGTACACAGTAGTGTAACTCGCAAAGTATGGCATATTTATTTCACGTGTGGTTTTATCCCTCAATTTGCATAAACCATATACATAATTTTGTCCCTCTAGCTGGTCAGTTAGGCAATCATGCATATAGAGTACAGAATGTTGCACCTCTTTAATCACTGGAAACTGCCATACAGTATTCAGTTATTACCCTTTAGGAGGATGGGCGAGATAGTTTGATTCAGTAACATTACTGGTGCTTTTGTGCGCGTGTGTCTCGTGGCAGGTTATTAACACATTTTGTAAAATCATTCTACAGACATGCACCAAGTAAGGGGCCTCGTAGCCTGGTGGATAGCGCGCAGGACTCGTAATTCTGTGGCGCGAGTTCGATTCCCGCACGAGGCAGAAACAAATGGGCAAAGTTTCTTTCACCCTGAATGCCCCTGTTACCTAGCAGTAAATAGGTACCTGGGAGTTAGTCAGCTGTCACGGGCTGCTTCCTGGGGGTGGAGGTCTGGTCGAGGACCGGGCCGCGGGGACACTAAAGCCCCGAAATCATTTCAAGATAACCTCAAGAAGATAAGTGTGATTAGTGACATAAACATGAGATACAGAACATTGAGGATGGCTGTGCCAAATGTGGTGGACAAGTGACATTACACCTTTTGATGTAGCTTAGTTGCATGTTTACTCTCCCAAACACACAGCTTCTTTCAGTTTTATGGTTCACTGAATATATTGTTAGTCCAAATAATGTGTACACAAGTGATAAATGGCAAAACTTACATTTGTAAATATATAATCTATGTACAAGTTGGTATAAAAAATAAATTCATGCTATGAGAATGTTATCAAAGCAAAAACCTGTTGCCACTTGAGCCTGTAATAACTTCCAACAGTTTGCTTGTATTTTTCTGTATGAGATCAAGGCAATCTATTCTGCTAGTCTATCTATAAAAAAAAAGTTTTAGGATATCATGAGATCTTATTTATGTGACTTCGCAGGTTCACTAATGATTTGTTTTCTTAACTCCATTAAAATTAGAGACCTTGGCTGTGAATACAGCACAAAATGTATTCAGAAATACCTTGCCAAAAGGGATCCCAGTGCAACGTGCAGTTAAATTGCCAGGCATAATGCAGAAGGAGAGAACAATATCCTAAATGATCTTTTCAGAAATTATGTACAGTTCCAAAGAATATGGTAGTTCCTGAAATATATTAATCTTCTATAAAATGCTTGCTTTTACTGTGCTGGATGACTCTTGGCCCTAGTGCGTGGCCTTGGACTCTGATTCTATCCATGAAGAGCTTTGTATAATAAAGCTGATATGCTTTGGAGATTTACTATTTATAATCAAATATGCAAAGATATTTGGGGCTATGCCTTACTGTGTACAGTATATATAATTTATGATTTCCATAAATTTAAAGGCAAGAAAAAGATTGTTCTTGGTCAGTTTTTTAATCTGCTTTTCTGGGGGGAGCTCCTACGGCTCCCCGGAGCTTACTAGGCTGATATGCTAATGTCAGACTTTGGCATCAGTCATGTGTATGGAGTTCTTATGGGCCTACCAGGGGCCACGAGCCAGAACCTGGCCCCCTTAGAGAGGCAAGGGGAGCAATGGCCTATAGAAACCCCCGTGTAATTCGAAGCATTCTATGTCTGCCATCGACGGGTTAGGCACCCAGAAAGGTAGGCATCCCAAAACAAACCCCTATTCTGGTGAAAATTGCAACCAAAAGCCGAACGAGTGGATAGAACTCCCCAAACAAAAATGAGCAAAGTAGTATGACGTCATCCGTTGTCGCGCTGCTGTCTGCACAGCCCCTCCCTCCCTGGGAGGGGGAAGGGGCAGCCCCCTTCAGACACGGGGGTTTCTATAGGCTATTGCTCCCCTTGCCTCTCTAGAGGGGGCCATGTTCTGGCTCGTGGTTCCCGGTAGGCCCATAAGAACTCCATGCACATGACTGATGCCAAAGTCTGTATATCAGCCTAGTAAGCTCCAGGGAGCCTCCGGGACTCACCCAGAAAATGGCGTTTCATTACATTCAATGCTGGTTTTTTCATAAGAGAAAATCTAGGACATTGATAACATTTTGCACGTAGGATGTGCACCATGCTCAAACATTAAACAAGTCACACACAACATAATGCAAAGTTTGCAGAATGCCTACAAGTCATGCTAGAATAATTTGCCAAAGAACTTTATTTTTTCTTCTCATGTACAGTATATGAAGTAATTATCTAAAGAAGGCTCCAAGCTGGGTTATTTATAGGAAATTGAAGCAGTTGCTTGCATGAAAGTTATGAGTAATACACGCTGAAAGATTAAGGTTGCCTTCATAGCAAGTTCCTGTAAACAATATAAATTGAGAAAAATATTAATATAATTTAGTTGGGACTTGAGTGAGGGTGAGAGAGAGCCTGTAATGAGCACTGTTCTCAATTTAACACATTTTACCTAGTTTGATATATGGCCCCTCTATAATTTTGTAGTTTATTGAACCTCTCGGATCTTTTTGCTTTTCAAAACATTTTTATCTTGTCAATAGAAAATACAGACAGACGGTTTATTGGGATAGAAACATTTTGAAACTTGCTAATTTTTAGTTTGATGCCGTCAAAATATGTACAGTACCCACGATAATATATATTAGTTTATGGATAATCCAAATATATGTTTTCACTTCATGTTTTGTTTTCTGTCCATGGCAACAAACACAAGACTAATAAGGTGAAATAATTATCAAAATAACCTATTAGAGTATTTGAGATTGTGGAGTTTCAGGTAGTGGTGGTTTGTGTATAGGGAACCCATACAAAACATTTTTCTGATCTGTCTAGTTCATGTAACATTCAAGATGATTGCACTATTAGGATACTAATTTCTGGTTCATAGAACACAGTGCATGTGGTATATTTATCTCGAGATTTATCCACATTTCTCAAAATGCAAGGATTTCCTAGTTATAAAATAACCACTTCTTCAGGTGGAATTGTATGATACTCTTATCAGGAAATCTTGTACAGTTATGGACTCCTGCTTGAACTGAACTCACTTTACTGAAAAGCTGGATGCATTAGCAGAATCTGTTAAGTAGCAAGATCATTGTGATCGATTATATTAGTAGACTTCTAATAGAAAAAGCCAGTGTATTTGCTGGGCTGGAATTTTTGTAGATTTTGTTACACTGCAGAAAAGCATGTTCTATTATTTGCACTAATAAATTTTTTTTTATAAAATGGCAAATAAGTGCAAACAATGGAGTCAATAAAACTTATGTAACACCCAAGTCCACGGTAATTATCTATTAAAGCAGGGCACACACTACAGTATTACTGTATACTGTAGTTTGTGGGGAATTACAATTGTAGGGAAAGACACTCTTGTATCATTGTAATAAGAAAAGCTTCATTTAGTTGTAGTACTTTTGAGAACCTAGAGAGGATGCAACCTGAAGAAATCCTTTTATCTCTCTTGCTGCAGCACCTCAACTTTAGCAGTTTCCATTGAAGAAAATTAGCAGATATCCTGGATTTACATTTGAATCAGTCTTTGAAACAAAAGTTTAAAGTTGCTTGTGTACTTTACATTAATTTCTGGTCCTTTGTTGGGTCTTTACCGTGTATGAAGTGGTGGTTATTCTTACCTGGTTGATACCTGGTTGATGGGGTTCTGGGAGTTGTTCTACTTCCCAAGCCTGGCCCGAGGCCAGGCTTGATGTGTGAGAGTTTGGTCCACCAGGCTGTTGCTTGGAGCAGCTCGCAGGCCCACATATCCACCACAGCCCAGTTGATCTGGCACTCCTTGGAGGAAACAATCTAATTTCCTCTTGAAGATGTCCACGGTTGTTCTGGCAATATTTCTTATGCTCGCTGGGAGGATGTTGAACAACCGTGAACCTCTGATGTTTATACAGTGTTCTCTGATTGTGCATATGGCATCCCTGCTCGTCACTGGTTCTATTCTTCATTTTCTTCCATATCGTTCACTCCAGTACGTTGTTATTTTACTGTGTAGATTTGGTACTTGGCCCTCCAGTATCTTCCACGTGTATATTATTTGATATATCTCTCGTCTTCTTCCTAGGAGTACATTTGGAGGGATTTGAGACGATCCCAATAATTTAGGTGCTTTATTGCGTCTATACGTGCCATATATATTCTCTGTATTCCTTCTATTTCAGCAATCTCTCCTGCTCTGAAGGGGGAAGTGAGTACTGAGCAGTACTCAAGACAGGACAATACAAGTGACTTGAAGAGTACAACCATTGTGATGGGATCCCTGGATTTGAAAGTTCTCGTAATCCATCCAATCATTTTTCTGGCTGACGCAATATTTGCTTGGTTATGCTTCCTAAACGTTAGGTCGTCAGACATCATTATTCCCAAATCCTTTACATGCTGTTTCCTACTATGAGCCAATCTGATTGTATTTTGTACCCTGTATTATGTTTAAGGTCCTTGTTTTTACCGTACCTGAATACCTGGAATTTATCACTGTTAAACATCATGTTATTTTCTGTTGCCCAGTCGAAAACTTTATTAATGTCTGCTTGAAGTTTTTCAATGTCTTCAGCCGACGTAATTTTCATACTAATTTTTGTGTCATCTGCAAAGGATGATACGAAGCTGTGACTTGTATTTTTGTCTATATCTAATATGAGAATAAGGAAAAGCAGTGGTGATGCTTGTCAGAACTTCAATTAAGTTGTGATCTGAGTAACAGGTATTTGTAATCATTATGTTCCAGATCAATTCATCATTATTGGTGAAAATGAGGTCCAGCGTGTTCTTCCTAGTTGGTTCTACTATTTGTTGGTTTAAGGTAAACCTGTCGCACATCCGTAGCAGGTCATTTGCATGTGTCTGTTCATTTAGGCTACTCCCTGATATTCTTTCTGATATAACTGTATTAGCTAGGTTCTTCCATTTCAGGTGCCGTAGGTTGAAGTCCCCAAGCAGAATGATGTTCGGGGCTGGATTTGTGAGGTTTTCCAAGCAGTGTTCTATTTTCATTAGCTGGTTTTTAAAGTGGTCTGGATTAATATCCTCCAATTTTGTTTTTTTATTTTAGAAGTTTGGATGAGACCCCGCCCTGTCATGTCTAGTTTGCAGTGTTCTTAGCCCTGTGGACCTATACCGTTCCTGGTATATGAGAGTCGCCTTAGTTCTGGGAAGATTTTTGTCGCTCGGTGTTGAGCTTTCTCTAAAGCAGATTTCTCCTTTTGGAGATGAGGTCTCCATGCTTGGATACAATAGTCTAAATAGAGGCGCACCAGACATTTATACCGTAGAATTTCTACCTTCTTTTACTTAAAGTTAAAGATTTGTTTGAGTATCCCTAGCGTTCGTTTTTTTTTATTACAGCTCCCACTTGTACATCTTTCAGCGATTGGTGTATTCTAACCTCAAGGTCCCTTTCTTCATCAATTTGCTGCCAGGTAATGTTGTCCCAGATGATTCACTAATCCTCCAGTCCAGCCCTAACATCAAGAAATACTGGATTAAGACCATACAGACTCCTCCTTACAGTGTCAGAGCTCAAATGGTCACCTTTCCGACACAGAATACCAACGTAGCCGCTAAGAAGGCTCTAAGAAAAACATTCGTAAGTACCTTCGTGAATCTGGCCCCAGGTTGCTTAACTGAGCGACAACCAATCACCTGTGGCCTCTCACAATGATGTCATTCTCTCTCTCTCTTGTACATATTATAATTGGTATTAGTTCCTGTATCTAATTAAACGTTCATGCGTCGCGGTGTATGACATACCAGTACTTCCTGGGGAAAAATTGCCTAGCATTTTGAAAGGAAATTGCACCACAGTACTTTCTTGAATAATATCAAAATGGACATAGATTTAAGTGCATACATCACACGTATATTAGATTAAGTACATAATAATGTAAATTATGACTCTTTTATTACATTAAAAATGTTTTATTATAAAATATTCTTACATGTACATATATATAAAAATAATGTTTTATAATTGTCAATAATTTTTCAGTCTAAAAGTAGACTACGTCAGAGTAGTGATCAGTGATTTCCACGGACATGTGGAAAGACATGTCCATGGAAGACATGTCCATACATCATACACACCGTAACCGTAATGCACAATGTTTATACAGAAGAATACTATCTCATGTAAATACACTAGCATACACATCGTTGACACAAAGATACCAAGGTATATGTGAAATATTTGCCAACATTATTAGAAAGTTACAACGTACATGTCAGCGCAACTTATGATGGCACTCAACTCGTTAAATACAGAGCCATGGCCATTAATTATGAAATATTTTTCATTATTAGGTTATTCATCAAATGTGACTACAACTTTGCTTACCCTTTCAAGAGTGAGATTGAGATATATAAAAATTATACCTACATCTTAATTTGTTATAATGGTTTATCTCATCATGTATTTCACATATTTTACAAAATGATATATAATAGTAAGTCATAGCATCAGTCACACGTGTTGCAGTAACCTGAGAACACTGTGTTAAGATGAATGTTCCCAGGTCATGAAGGCAGCAGAATGAACAGGGATAAACCGAGTGCTCTCAGCTTGCAGATTAAAGGCGTTATATTGAATGTGATCTATTATGAAGGAAATATTAAAAGTTATTATTATGATGAATGTAAAAATGATCATAATCATATTGTACCAAAGACGAGATATGATTTGAAAAGAATGCCAAGATATTTATTAGGAACAAACTTAAATCTTTAAGATGAACTGTCATTCATTATATTTTAGGACTTACTTTGTTAAAATGATTCTTAAAAGTGTTTAAATAAATGTAGTTAATTCGTCAATATTACTGGCTGATTCGTCGAAACATTTCTTATAGTTTTTATAAGACAATTAATTGTCAATTAAGTAGGAATCAAATAACAATAAAATTCATGTCAGACATTCTATACAGAGTTAGTGCCAGTTACTCCTGCTGCGCAATCTTTTTCAGCTCCTTCTTGAGGAGTTTACCGGCGGGATTCTTGGGCAACTCGTCAATGAATTTGATGCCTCCAGTCAGCTGCTTGAAAGGGGCAACGCGGCTCTGCATGAACTCCTGCAACTCTTTTTCGGTGACATTCCCTTGGCGGACGACATAGGCCCGAGGCACTTCCCCGGCATGCTCGTCCTCTACGCCGATGATGCCTACGTCTGCCACTTGAGGGTGACGCAGAAGGATGTCCTCTAACTCTGATGGCGACACCTGCAACAGGAGAAACATGGCTATTATCTTTCATGTTGTGCCTCGCCTACATTACAGGTAGCTTTCAAAGGAGAAAACTTTATTATAATACAATAGGCCTAATCTTTCATTTGTTTACATATTTTCTTAATGTTTGTTGTAGGCGTAAACTGAAAGTATAGCCCATGTCCATATTGGCTCCTCACACAAACTTGATTTAACAATGTGAATTCAGTTTTAGTAGTTATTAAATTTATTAAGCCACTGGAAACTTAAACTTTTGTAAAAAGGTAAATTATTAGAAGTTTTGCGTCAACTGCAACAGTAATATGCAATACTGTACTGAATTCTATTTCCGGAGTTATTTTTAAAGATTCTCTCATTAATTCTCATCTGGTGGGGAAGTTATTAGTATTAGAGCGCCTATACAGTACTGTATATGTAAAGCCTAAAAATCTTATAAATTGGTGCATTTTAGTATCAGAGACAGAGTATGGCTGTGGGTTGGTTGGCGGGGCGCTGAACAGTATGGGGTATGGGGCCCCAGTATTGGGTTGAGTAGGGTAAGTTATGGGTTCGGGGTGGGCTTTGGTGAGGTAGGGAGCCTTGGCTTAAGTTTGGTAGGGATGTAAAGGCTTTTGTGGAGAAGGGGAGGCCAAAGCTTGGATTAGGTATGAATTTTTAATTTGTACTAAATTGTCCCCTGATAGTTACTGGTCTATTACACACATTATTCTTCTGTCCATTATCTATATCATCTGTGTAAAGTCGTACCTGCATGCCCTTGACCTTGATGAGTTCCTTGATACGGTCAATGATGGCGAAGTTGCCCTCCTCGTCATAGATGGCCACGTCGCCAGTCCTTACCCAGCCCTCCTCATCCATGACCTCCCGTGTGGCCTCCGGGTTGTTGTGGTAGCGAGACATCACCTGTGACCAGAAAGAATATAACACAACTATTACGTTGAGCCTTTTGTAAATAACCCAAGACAAAACTTATTCTTAAAGACTAAAAATACTTTACAAATAATTTAATATCGATTGGAAAACTTTGAATAAGTATTACATATGCATTGACTGAACAACCTGTACTCAGGGAGGAAATCTGCTCACTGGAATAGATTGAGAACGACTACATAATTAGTGCTATTATCTACTCTATCATGGTTAAGTTAGGCTAGGGTTACTTTAGGTTAAGGTTTAGTTAGGTTAGGTTTGGTTTCAATAGTTTTGGTTTCATTAGGTTTGGGTACGTTAATATGGTGTATTATTGGCAATAATGTAAAATATGAAATTCGAAAACTATTTCAGTGCATCTAAGAATTCAGTTTATAGAAAACCAAATTTTAAAAATAACGTTTTCAGTATATACTGTACTTTTTATAGTTTAAACCAACTATTTATTATACAATAAAACTATAACTAGAGAATAATCTCTGTTTAGAACAAAGGTTCACTTGCTAGTTTACATGTAGACTATTACTGGAACCATACTATGCTTTCAGACTATCACGAATATCTAGATAACTGGTTTCTCATTGTAATCGATTTGCACTGAGGACGGGGTTGATGTATGTTAACTAAATCTAACTAGATAACTAATTTAATGATCAAATTTTCACCCATGGCCAAGTGCACCAACTCACACTAGAGTAATGGGAACACCACCTCACACTAGAGTAATGGGAACACACCCTCTTACATTATAAGTGATGGAACACCTGTTCAGATAACTATTTACCTACAGCTTTATAAGATTTCTAATAACATTTTGATTTGGTCTGAAGACCTACACGGTCTTAATTCTCGGTTGTTTCTCCCTAGACAAAAAAAGTTTGATATATCATTAATAATAATTGTGAACATGCAGCATGAGTGTGTGTGTGTGTTGGTTCAAGTGTGCACTATTGTGTGGACATGAGACTTACAGAAGGGGTGTGGATGCACATGAGACTTACAGAAGGGGTGTGGATGCACATGAAACTTACAGAAGGGGTGTGGATGCACATGAGACTTACAGAAGGGGTGTGGATGCACATGAGACTTACAGAAGGGATGTGGATGCACATGAGACTTACAGAAGGGGTGTGGATGCACATGAGACTTACAGAAGGGGTGTGGATGCAGAGTTCGCCCTTAGCGCCAGGTGGGAGAGCAACATCAGTAGCCAGGTCGAGTACCTTGGCTCGCACGTTGGGCATCAGCTTACCACAGTAACCCAACTTCTCCTCGCCCTTAGCGGTCAAGTGGGCGCAGAGAATCTCCGTCATGCCGTAACCTATAGGACGAGACAGGGAAAAGGAGAGATCCCATCAGCCAAAGTCAGTAAGTGACATAAATTTCTCAAACGTTTTATCATGTAGAGACTACACACACTAGATTTGAGTCAATTACCTTCCTGGAAGAATATTGGCCGCTGCAACTTTTCCTTGAGCTTGATGGCGGCTGCTGGGAGGACCGGGGCTGCTCCACATATGACGGTGTGAGTGCTGGCCAGATCAGCTGGTGACACCGCCGGAGACATCGCTATGAACTTCAGCAGAGGCGGGACAATATGCAGGCAGGTCACCTGTGGCAAGCAGGCACACCAAGGCACTTTCAGTAAGACCATTTATAAATTATATAGTTTGAACCAAATGCTATACGAAGACATTTGTTCTTGTACATATAAAAAATAAGCAGCAAGGTAACGTGACGTAATTCTGAGGAGAGCGCTAAGCCAGTGTGACCATACAGCATCTACGGGCTTATAGTGTTTTTTTCCTGATAATTAATAATTTATCATATTTATTAATAATAATTATAATATAGTACAAGAATCATACATCGATATAATATTTCCCATGCTAATATTTTTGGTCTCAAAATGGGTAGGAACTGCTGTACATTATTATTATTATTATTATTATTAGGCTACTGATTTAATTTGGACAAACCACAGTGCTATGTCGAATTTAAAAACATTTAAACAAAGAATGTTCTTATGAAGCTTCTAGAAGGGGTACTGGGGGTGTCTGGGATACCCTGTCTTTCTCTATTCGTCTATTTCCCTATTCTTTTTCTTCTTTCTCAACTCCCCATTTCATATATAAAAATTTCCATTTAGAATTATTATTTTTTTTAATTATTAATACATTAGGTACATTTGCATTTGTGCAGCTACCCTAGACTATATGAAGGGGAGTACAGTGTCAAAGAGGTGACACTAGCGTGGCGATTGAGCTCCTACGTGATGCTAAAAAATCCCCAACACACAAGATGGTTAGTCATACAGAAGTATATGATAAGTAGTCTGCACTGACAGACTCTGGGTTCGTTATGAGGATATCATAAACACAAGAGTGAATAAGGTAGCAGTGATACTAAAAGTCCCTATCTCACAGGATGGTTAGTCATACAGGGCCATTACGTATTATCCTTCCTAAATATTATGTCAACAAATCTAGGGCTTCAGTCAGCCATCTCTCATCGATTGTGTGTCCATCTTTCATAGAATGTGTGTGCCTGGGGGAAAAGGGGGGGGGGTCACTATTTTGTCTTACTCCCTCTTAATAGAACCCGATCCAATGTCGAAAAGACTTGGAAAGGTTGGGGGGAAGGAGGAAAGATGAGGAGTTGAAAGGAGGAGAGCGTGCACCTATCACGCCATGACGCCGGTGCATGGCGTGATAAGTCTTGTTCCATTTGCTACACTTCCATATGCTCTGAATATGGCGTAAGAGCTCTATCAGCTGTCATCTAGCTTGTCCAAAACAATACATACAAATAGAGATACAACCTGATATTAACATCATTACACTTATTAATACATCCTAACATATATGTAATATTCCCTGGCAATCCTTCGTGCTGGTTGTGGGTGAGTATGACAAAGAATTAAGGCTGAGTGATGTTACGATAGTGTGCGGTATCCTACCCTCCTTCCCTGTTCACCGAGCAGTAAATAGGTATCTAGGAGTTAGACAGCTGCTACGGGCTGCTTCCTGGGATGTGTGTGTGTGAAAATTAGATTAAGGACTTGCCCGAAACACTATGCGTGCTAATGGCTGTACAAGAATGTAAGAACTCTTGTATATATACATATAAAAAAAGAACAATAATCAATGATCAACTATCCTCGTGAATATCGTACGATTGTATCTCTCTTACCCCAAGAAACATTTTACACTGACAAATAAGTAATTTCGTTTTTACAAGAATTCTACGTTTTAACAACTGAAAATAAACGACAGTCATTTGTACTGGCGTCTTAGATGACACCATAATATGACAGGTATCTCCTACCTGGTGCTTCTTGAGAACAGTCATGTAGGTCACAGGGTCAAATTTGGGGAGGGTGACGATCTTGGCCCCATTTAACATGCCACAGACCATGACCCCCATCATGCCATAGATGTGGAAGAATGGGAGGAGACCCATAATCACCTCCTGATGCTCTCCTGCGGGGAAAGAGAGGATAATTAACTACAAATAAATGTTTACAAATACTGTATTATAAGTATAAACATAAGAACATAAGAACAAAGGTAACTGCAGAAGGTCTATTGGCCCATACGAGGCAGCTCTTATCTATAACCACCCAATCTCACTCATATACATGTCCAACCCGCGCTTGAAACAATCGAGGGACCCCACCTCCACCACGTTACGCGGTAATTGGTTCCACAAATCAACAACCCTGTTACCGAACCAGTATTTACCCAATAATGCTATGCAATAAGCTTGGTTATATATACGTGAAGCAAAATGCCGAAAGACCAGAACTCAAATTGGGAAATAATGTCATTTGAATGCAAATAAGTCTTTATAGTGGCACATTCAACAATAATATCAATCCTGCTATTTTTAAATAGTATATTGAAAAAAAAATCACTCAAATTACTTAATTTTCGAAGAAAAAAGTTAAAGAAATATATTCATAGACGATTCTAGAAAGCTTGGAGATCAATTAAAGATGTTAACATCGTAGAATGTTTCCTTGACGCGTATATACCAACTAATCTAAACATAATTCCACGTATAAATGTTTAAAATATGAACTTCTGTCGCAAAAGTATATTCTCAAAAGGGCGTACAAACCTTCAAATGAATTAAGAGCATAAGAACAAAGGTAACTGCAGAAGGCCTATTGGCCCATACGAGGCAGCTCCTATATATAACCACCCAATCCCACTCATATACTTGTCCAACCCGCGCTTGAAACAATCGAGGGACCCCACCTCCACCTATTATAATAAAATAGTTATTATTATAATAAAATTATAATAATATAATAAATTAATTATAATTAAAAAAGAATTATAATAAAACGTTACCTTCTGCCTTGTCGTAGGGGTTTGTGTAGGGGTTTTGGTATATGGTGGACCCACTGGAGAAGAGGGAGTGAGGCATACACACGCCTTTGGGTTTACCAGTGGTGCCGCTGGAGTAGGCAAGGACAGCGGTCGTCTCCTCGCAGATCTGGCCGGGGAAACGTCTTGTGTAATAATAAAAGGTGTGCACTCATGTTTATCAGAAGCCTAAGTTACCTACCAACTTACTCAATTCGGACCAAAACAAATAAAAGCGACCTTCAAATAAAAGGTTTTTCTGTTTCTAAAAACAGAAACCTTTTTTCACGTTACACTAGTTTTTCCTGTAATGTTTCTTACAATTTGTCCTCTCCTTAATGTCCGTAGCATCGTTAACTTTAAATCAAAATACTTTTAAGCTAAGAATCATAGTTTACAGTCTCCGTGGTGTAGTGGTAAGACACTCGCCTGGCGTTCCGCGAGCGCTATGTCATGGGTTCGTATCCTGGCCGGGGAGGATTTACTGGGCGCAATTCCTTAACTGTAGCCTCTGTTTAACGCAACAGTAAAATGTGTACTTGGTTGTAACAACGATTCTTCGCGGCGGGGATCGTATTCCAGGGACCTGCCCGAAACGCTACGCGTACTAGTGGCTCTACAAGAATGTAACAACTCTTGTATATATCTCAAAAAAAAAAAAGTTAGGCTTCTGCCATACTCAACCTTCAATTTAATCCATCCTTACCCATCCTATTACAGTAGTTGTTTTTAGTCCCAGATCTTTCAGATTATACTAAAACCCGTCCTAAGGTTTCCCAACGCCAAGAAACTGTCGTACTAAAGTGCCATTGTCCTAACCAACCAGAGGATCCACAACAGAAAACAGGACATTATGCCAATTTCGCGAGCCGCTGCCACTTTCTAGTACGACAATTTGTGACCTTAGGTAGAGGTGATTAAATATGTATATATGTATATGTATATATATGTGCATGTAGGTTATCTTGGGGTTAGGTTATCTTGAGGTTAGGTTATCTTGAGATGATTTCGGGGCTTTTAGTGTCCCCGCGGCCCGGTCCTCGACCAGGCCTCCACCCCCAGGAAGCAGCCCGTGACAGCTGACTAACACCCAGGTACCTATTTTACTGCTAGGTAACAGGGGCATAGGGTGAAAGAAACTCTGCCCATTGTTTCTCGCCGGCGCCCGGGATCGAACCCGGGACCACAGGATCACAAGTCCAGTGTGCTGTCCGCTCGGCCGACCGGCTCTTCGGTCTATGTATGTATGAGTATGTGTACATGTATATATAACATTAATAATTGTGTATCTAGCGGTAAAAAATTTTATTTGCTTAGTTAAACGAACTAGAGGGTTCAGTTCCTGAACCGATTATGTGCCTCTGTAATCCTTTACACCACCGCCCATGGGATGGGTATGGGGTGCATAATAAAGAAAGAAATTGAAATTGAAGGTAGAGTATACATCAAAATGCGACGTTCTGTTAGGAGGACAAGTTGAAAACCTCACATGTGAAGTTCACAGTTAATATTTCATCAGTGAATTGACATTTACAGTACATTTACCTATCTCTTGAAGCGTACTGACGTCAAAGACCCATGTTTCAAGTGTGAAAATCTCTTACATCTAATTTTCGTTATTTTACATAAATTTTAAGTATCTAAAAAATTAAATGATGAGTAAGAGGTGCAACAGGTACTCTGAGAGAGAACTCTATCAACATCAGAGGTCCGAGACTGTTCAACACGCTTCCACTACACATAAGGGGCATAACTGGCCGACCCCTCACAGGTACTCTGAGAGAGAACTCTATCAACATCAGAGGCCCGAGACTGTTCAACACGCTTCCACTACACATAAGGGGCATAACTGGCCGACCCCTCACAGTGTTCAAGAGAGAACTGGATAAGCACCTCCAAAGGATACCTGATCAACCAGGCTGTGACTCATACGTCAGGCTGCGAGCAGCCGCGTCCAACAGCCTGGTTGATCAGTCCGGCAACCAGGAGGCCTGGTCGACGACCGGGCCGCGGGGACGCTAAGCCCCGGAAGCACCTCAAGGTAACCTCAAGGTAGGAGAGTATTCTACTATGTGTGACGTTTATACCACATGCACTAGCCTAGGTAGTAAATGTTATCTACAAAAGCCACTCACGTCAACTTGGTGAGCATAAGGTATACTGGTGTCGGTGATAATCTCTCTTAGGTTGGGTCTCCCGCTCTTAGAGGCTCCGTTGACGATGACGGGGATGTCCCATTGTAGGAGAGCAAGCGCAGCGTCAGCCAGGGGCTCCATCAGGCTGTCCACCACCAATATTTCCGTCCCACTGTCCCGAAGATGTCCGGCCACTTCCTCTGTATCAGGGATAAGTCTCGTTCTAAACTAATGATATGCAGGCGATGAGTCACAATAACGTGGCTGAAGTATGTTGACCAGACCACACACTAGAAATTGAAGGGACGACGACGTTTCGGTCCGTCCTGGACCATTCTCAAGTCAATTGATTCACAATCGACTTGAGAATGGTCCAGGACGGACCGAAACGTCGTCGTCCCTTCAACTTCTAGTGTGTGGTCTGGTCAACATATACTAATGATACTTGTGCTATTAAATAAATAATTCCACAACTTATTCTGCTAAGACAAGAAGATAAATGTATTTGATAAATGTAGGAAAACAGAACAAGTACAGGGAATGTGACCAAAGAAGCCGGAAAATATAGAGTAGTTGTAGTTTTGATGTAGCTCACCAGGAGTGTAGGTGGGGTTGATGGGGGTGAGGATGGCGCCAACGGCTGTCGTTCCGAATAACACGATGGGATGTTCCGGAGAGTTGGGAGACAATATGGCTACCATCGGGTTGCCGTTATCTGGGGCTGTGAGCTTGCCCTTACCAGCCAACTGCTGCAGCATTCCACCAAACTTCATGGCTCCATCCAGCAACTGGCTGTAGGTGTAGCATCTACCTGTTATCCCACACTCCTGAAGAAGGAAGAGAACTGCGTTACTGTCGGCTCCTGCAGGCTAGTGAACCCCAAGTTTCTCATCAAGAGCCAGTTATATATCATGGGAAAATTATCACACTCTAAATTCAGAGAAAAAAAACAAGACTTACGATCGCAATTTTGTGTGACCACGTAGACACCTCTGTGAAAACTTTCTGGGCGAATGGGGCGTAGGGCATGGCCATCTTTGGAAACTTCGACTCCACTATGTTCTTGGAGCTCTCCGCCTCCACACTATGCAAGGGAGATAAAACAATTGTCGAGGTTGCTGAAGATTATGTGTCAGGACTCTACAACGGTAGAGACGTTTGGTGAAGTTCGTCCAGTCACCGTCTAAATGTGTTAATTAAAACAGTCACGAGGACTTAATTTGCTTTGATGTGTATCTGCTGTTCGCCAGCAGATGTGTGAATTGTGTTGAATTTTCTTTTAAGATAAAGTACAAATGTAAATATTCATGTTTATCAAGGTACTTCCATTAAATAACCTTAATGAATTATATATTTTAAACAATACGTTTTGGTTAAATGGTAAATTTTACAGAGAGGTTTGGAAAATATCAAGTTTGTAATATTAAGCTGAAATGATATAGGTACGTAGAGCATTCCTGTATGTCGGCCTGAACACGTTGATCCATCAAACATTAGTAAATTATCTTAAGAGGTTAGTTTCTTCCTTAAAATTTCAGATAGAATGAAAATATAATAGATCCGAGTTTTTTCAAATAAAAATATTACTAGATCAAATAATGATTTCCAATTCAAAGTATATCGAAGACTTCAGCAATTTGATGGCTATACAGAAATTTGAGTTTTCGCGATTAAGGATCGGATATAAAACAGGCCATTAGATTGGTTGATCGGGTCTACAACTGTTCACCCAAATATATACTCCCAATCTCACAGTGAACGTGAGTAAGACTTCAAACTGACGAAAGGATTGATTTCCTGCCGTGTGTTGGAGTCCTAGTGTATGATACTAGTACGCTTGTCAGAGGAAAGCTGCATTAGTTAAGGTAAGGCTGAATTACCGTCGGGAAGTTAGATTTTCGCTAAGCAAAATGTGATTAGGTCTATTGAGATTAGATTTCATCAGCATTCTAGATGTTAAGTGCTTACGTGAAAGATCAAATTATTTTATCTAAACATAAAGAATAGTATGTACAAGATACAGAATCGTCTGTGTCTTGCTCTGTGACCTTCCAAATCCTCTCACTATCCATTCAACGGGCCATCACGTGACTCTGGCCGCGTGAAGGCTCTGACAACCTTCCGCTTCAACAAAACAAATATACTGACTAACCTGGCGGGCAAGGCAGAAGCTTGACTTCTTGACTTCGATACTGTGGTGATGGCGCGGGCGTTGGAGAGGGCGCGGCGGGTGATGCGGGCCCGCGCTCCATAGGAGCTGGCGCTCATTGTTTGGGAATGAGCGCCAGAAAGGAGAGCATATGTCAAAGATTTCATTTTTTCGTATTTAGTTGTGTATATAGTGACTTATATATAATTGTTTTCTAAGTCTAGGGCGTCTGTTTTGAGGGCGTTTATAACAGAGCTGCTCTTCCGTCTCGTGGAAGGCTAAACCTGCTTTAGGAGTGTCTCGACCAAGACAGCGCCCTTAATATGAGGCGAGCCCCTTTAGTACCCGCGAAGAGCCCTCCCTCCCCCCTTGTCACACCCACACCACGTCCCTTGCCCCCTCTCCTCTGCCTTATCACAGCATGACCCTCTGACCATCCCACCTTGCCCCCCAGCAGATAAGGTGACAAGGCGAACGAAGGTGTGGCGAGTTATAAGTAATCTGGTTGTCAAGTGGACGCTGTTCTCAACACCTGTCTTACAGGTCTTGCAGGTGTTCTTAGTCAACATCAAGTTGAGAGTAGACTTTACTGGTTACGTTTCACCTGTAAGGGTTTTATCAAATCTAATTAAACCCGACCACCAGTTCTTACACAAGAGGGGATGTAACAGATCTTCAGCTCCTGTTCTCCGACTCTCTATCTTTCGATCGACCAATGCCACACCATTTCTACCATATAATTACACTCACTGCCCCTTGCGCTAAACATCTTACCATCCCTTTGGCTCATGCCCGTGCTGACTCATTGTGTGCTTGGCTCATGTACGTGTCTGGCTCAGTTTACGTCTGCCTCATGTGCGTGCCTGGCTTATGTGCTTGTCTGCCTCATGTGCGTGACTTACATATGTGCTTGTCTGCCTCATGTGCGTGACTGGCTTATGTGCGTGTCTGCCTCATGTGCGTGCCTGGTTTATGTGCGTGCCTGCCTCATGTACGTGCCTGCCTCATGTGCGTGCCTGGTTTATGCGTGTCTGCCTCATGTGCGTGACTGGCATATGTGCGTGTCTGCCTCATGTGCGTGCCTGGTTTATGCGTGTCTGCCTCATGTGCGTGACTGGCATATGTGCGTGTCTGCCTCATGTGCGTGCCTGGTTTATGTGCGTGCCTGGTTTATGTGCGTGCCTGCCTCATGTACGTGCCTGCCTCATGTACGTGCCTGCCTCATGTACGTGCCTGCCTCATGTACGTGCCTGCCTCATGTGCGTGCCTGCCTCATGTACGTGGCTGATTCAAGATAATTTTCTCGAGACGTGACAGGGAGGTAATTTTCCTTCACAGACTACCGCCCTTTTGATCTCCTTACACATGTTCCCATTTTCATCGCCTGACATTTGCTGATGCTGAATTCTAGTAGCCATTTCTCGGATCAACGCTGCAGCGTGCCTAAGTCATCTTGTAGTCTAACAACCCAGCTTTAACTGCTAACTTATAAACAACTTTACAACACTTAATCATGCTATGAACTTTAAGAAACAAGAACCTGTGGCCGAAGTACAGACTTTAATCTGAGTGATATTTTGATCTTAAGTAAAAAAAAAAACATTATCAGCCGTACATCACCAAGAGCACAGAACTCTATACCTTTACCACCCAAGTCTATCTTATAAGTAGCAGGGTAAACCCATCCTATTGTTGCTACCTGCTGGTAAACCCATCCTATCGTGTTTATTGGGCAGCGTCACTCATCCTGTGAGTGGACACACCGCCATAGCAGCATGTACAACACTCCCCAATAGGAAGAAAACCCGCTGGGTTGTTCATCCTGTCACTTGTACCCAGACACAGCTGGGACTTGCTTAACTGTCTCAAGTGAACAGTTCCTCAAACAAGAAGATTAACATTTGCCAACCCTTTAAATCTTACGTTATCTTGCGGGTGAAAAATGGGGGAATCTTTTAAGAACAGTATCAATATTTGACAAATAGTGTTTTCCTAACTCAGACAATGTGGGGTTTATTATTCTACACATACTTCTGATTTCTCTCAGGTGTTCACATTCACGTAGATAGTGGTCAAGGCGGTGTCCATCACTCTCACCACAGATTCTACAACTTCGCTGATCAACTGTTGTTTCCATTCCATATCTCCATGGATATTTGTATCCAAGACGGATTTTCGCTATTACTGATTCTCTCCCGCGTCCTCCTCCTCTTCGGCCATAATGATTGGGATTGCCAGCTGCAACCATGTTGTACCATCGTACAGATTCACTGGTTTGTGCTTCTATCCTCCTTTCCTCAGTTACCTTGTCACGGTGATGTTGCCTGACAATACCTTTAATTTGTAGTAGACTTTTGGGTATGAAGCATTCAGTATGGTCTCCTTCAGCGCCTTCAGCAGCCAGCACATCTGCTCGTTCATTCCCACATATTCCAACATGGGAGGGGATCCACAGAAACTTGACGACTCTTCCCTGATTGGTAATACTCTCACAGCTCTCTTAATTTCAGCGACTATTGCAAGATTTTCTGCCCGATTTTTACTTAGGCTTTGCAGTGCTACTTTTGAATCAGTGCAGATCACTGCACCATTAGTGTTCCGTTCAAGAAACCTTAACGCCATAACAATGGCAGTTAGCTCTGCTTGTGTTGAAGAAGCATAGTTCTCAATACGTGCTTTTTCTTCATTTCTGCGTTGGAAAGCAATTACCGTGTATGTTGCACCAGCCCTTCCATTGACAGGATTTTTTTTTATTATTTTCTACCACAGACGTGGCCACACATTTACAATGCTAACCAGCATATATACATTTTCTTCTGTCCTCCATGGACAGGGTTAGAGAAGTGTTAAACATATAGTTCAAGGGTTTATTGAACACTCAACCACAGAAGGTGATTCGGTGCTTTTAAAATGCTAAGCTAACCTACATACGTAAATACATAGATACACAGATTTACGTATGCCCTACATAAAGTGTTTGATGTGTCTTTTACATAGTGTCATTAATGTACATTCACAAAGGTGAAATGTAATTCTGATCAGCTTCCATATATACTTTATACCCATACATATACATACACACACATATATACATACATATATACACACACATGCATTCACATACATTTGTCTCATTTACTCTGACAGGGTGAGATAGCTGATAAAGAAACTAGTGTGCAATTAAGCACTTAATCACTGAAGGTGATGAAGGTGCTTTTACAAGCTCAATTGACAGGATTAGATGACCTGTCAGTGTAAATTTGATCTAGTTTATCTCCGGTTTCTTTATAAATTTCCTCGAGATACTTGTGCCTCATTTCTTGTGGTATCATGTTGGATTTGTTCATTGCCATTTCATTGATAATCCTGCATGAGTCATCCTCCCAGGGGGGCACAAAAGATAAGGAGGTGTGGGGGATGTCTCAAGGGGCTAGGACAAGAGGAAGGTCCTAGGTCCAAGAGAGAGTAAAGAGTAAGTATCATTTGAGACAGTTAATCAAGTCCCAACTGTGTTTGGGTTACAAGTGACAGGATGAATAACTCACCGGGTTTTCTTCCTATTGGGGAGTGTTGTGCATGCTTCTATAGCGGTGTGTCCACTCACAGGATGAGTGGCGCTGCCCAATAAATTCGCCCCTCGGATCAAAATTTACAAAAAAATACAAATTTAGATCAATGAGGGACTGAAGTCACGAGGGACTGGAGTCCTCATGATCACTGAGGGACTGAATAATTGGTCCCTTGAGCCACGAGGTAATTAGGAAGGCAAGTGAAAAGTTTGTAGTGATACTAGGAGGGGAGTTGACGTAACGGGCCGGTAGTCTAGGCAGGATCTGATTCTTTCTGATGAGTAGGTACATTTTTGGCTGCTGAGGTTATCGATGATAAGCCCGGTGTAAACAACCTACTTGTGTACGGTGGGTTATTCCCTGTTGTAACCACGCACCACCTCTTCACCCACAACCCCCGCCAGGCATTCTAATGTGATAGTATTTATAGTCACTACTTGGTCAAGAACTACTTCCCTCCTCTCTAACCCTTCCTTGCCTTACCTTCCCTACCAGTACCTGTCTCCCTCCCCTACCAGCACCTGTCTTACTCCCCTACCACCACCTGTTGTGGGAGAAAATACTAGAATTAGGTGAATGAGGAGTATTACATAGAACCAAACATGTGGTTCAAGTATTTGGTATCTAGGTTCAAAGGACCAAAAACCCGGTTACTAGAACTATAAATTTGCAACTGAATAAATACTGTAAATAATTCATAAAAATGTATCACAATATAAGCTAATTCTTGGTTCAGGGTTGTGGAGTCTATTGAAGCTCTTGGGATTTGCTGGTGTAAAACATATGGAACAACATGGGTTACGAATTGGCAAGTACTAATTGAAATTGAATTTGAAATAAGTTTATTCAGGTAAAATACACACAAAGGGATGAGGTAGCTCAAGCTATTCTCACCCCGTTCAGTACATCGTGTTAATACATACATATAAACACATCACAAACAATAAACATATTACCAAACATTCTGAGAGATAAACATCTACATTTCCTAGGCAAGTACTATGTGGAAATATTATAGCAGTTACGAATATGTTGTCAAATAGGAAATTAACCCCTGTTGCAGAAGACTAATAATCATCAATTGCAAAATTTTGTCTACAGTGTGGTATTTGTCTCACAGTTTCCCAATTGACAAGAAAAGTGCCATGGAGATTGTGAAAACTATTTTTAGATATGTATGTTATGGTAGATACCAACCAATTAAACGGACTACCCTATGTAAAGGTAAGAATAACGGTGGAATAGGCATACTGAATGTGTACCATAAGTCATTGGCTATATTATTTACCTTTAGAAAGGAGATAACGCAGAGGGATAGTGTAAATGCGCTAGAACATTATTTTTGTAAATTACGTGTTAGCTACTTGATACATATGCCAGAGTATACTGACTTTGCCTTTATTTCACCTCGCTTTTATACATGTGTAATTGATGTTCTCTGACGGATTTGTAATATTGAAGGGTTTTTAATGATGAGCAGTAAACAGGTGTATGATATTCTGTTCCCAAATATAGTTCCTAGAGTAGAGGCGGCATATCCACTCTTTAACTGGCGAGTTATATGGGCAAATCTTCATGTTAAACTCCCCAATACAATATCGCCTTGCCCCAATACAACGTGAGCTATTGTATGGCTATATTCATGAGACCCTCCCTCTAATAATAGGTTGTTGATGTTGGGTATTAAGGACAACAATAGGTGTGACCAATCTACTGAAATTGAGAATAATATGCATATATTTTATTACTGTAA